TGTTGTAATGTCACATCAGTTTAGGACATGTTTTACACTTTTACAATTTCAATATTCATTGCCGACATGTTCATAAATAAGACTATGTATAAATGCTTCATTGCCCATAAGTATCATAAACGGTGGGAAATCACAGAAAATAATTATGACATCCTCACTAGAAGCTAATCTGATGCATCTGCGGGGATTATTTAAAATGCTATTTATAGGGCAGTTGTGTGTTTAAGAGAATTAATTTATATCAAAAGGTGAGAATGCATGTTGTCAATGATACTTTAGTATCCATTGTTATGGAAATATACAAGTCAAGAGATTGTCCATTGTCAAACTCTACAATTCCACAGCAATCCAATTCACAGATAAGCTGCATTTCAATCAAATATACATTTCATCTAAGCATGGAAGGTACTAACGTTATTACCTTCCATGATCTAAGTCTCTCCAAAACAAACAAACATAGCAGTGCTACTGTTTGGTATTTGAGTAACATCACAACATTTTTTTTTAAATCAGCTTTAATGATTCATCTACGTTTGAGAAACACTTTATACCTTATTTAGTCATGTCAATGTAAAAGTACACAAGGCCGGCAGGATAAAGTTTAATATTTAGAAATAAAAAGTTGTTATCTTTTCGCTACCTTAAAACATCTGTCCGACAACTGCGTATTATCTCCGCGCCGAAACAACTTTGCCAAGATCATTACAAACTCCCTGCTTCGATAGTCACTGCATGATGCTCGTTAATTTATTGATTGCGCACAGCTACACTACGGGAGTTTCCTGTAAAAAGAAAAATGCGTTCACCATGGCAACAGCGATGCGTTTTTGTTACGTCATAGTAGTACCCATACACAGCCATGATAGTAGTCGATTGTTAATTTATAAAATGTAGTACAATCAACATTTTGATTATTATTGGGCCAATGAGTGGTTATTTGTATTTCTGTTTTTAAATTGTAAATAGGATTTGATTACATAACAAATTCCGGTGCAAATCTGGGAGCATTCAATACCGTTGTGCTACTTATGTCACGTGGGTCATGTGACATGTTCTTTGCGCATATGTCATCGGAGACATAATAAATAAACAAGGTTGTAAATCAGTATAAAGGACAAATTGTTTTCATGCCGAAATTCGGAGCTAAGTTTGTGTATTAAAACAATTTCCTGTAAATTATCTAAACAAGATATATACTTGAACTGACACATGAATGTTTAAAACAAGAAATTGCCTGTAGAATGAGGCGTCAGACAAGAAGATACCCTGAGTCCATTAATATTTAATATATTTGCCAACGCCTTTTTTGCTAAATAATACTCCGCCATATATTTATTGAGTAAATCAGGTCTGTATAAGGCACTAAATAGGCTCCAATTATACTGCAAGTAATTGCAATTACACATATAAATAAATTAAAAACAAATCTGTTGAACTCCTTAAAAATATAATTTCCACATAAATGACTTAAAAAGATAGTCAATCTACTTGTGGAATTAACACAAATGAAAAACTGCATAATTTAGAAATAGAACTATGAAGGCATTTTCGAAATGAATCTTTTATTACTCTCTGATAATATACATATAACACATACTTTCCAACCAATATTTGTATACGGTGAACAAATCTATTCAGATAACATAATTAACATTTTAAATTACTATATAAACAATGCAACATATGCAAATCAAATACTATAAATAACAAGTCATTGAAAATGACACAGTCCCCGTTAAGTTCTCTTTGTGCTCGTCATATTAAAGCGGGGGGGTTGTCGCGAGTGCGTCCTTGAAACTTGAGTTCCAAGTGGCGTATACAACAGATTGTTTATTTACATCAAAACACGTGTTTCGTGTCATAGTAATATGGCCAAAATAAAAACAGCCGTTATTCGGCCATCTTTGATCTGATTATGAAACACACTGATATGTATGATGTGCCAAATACGAATGAAAATGGTACATAAATTGTGGAAATATAGTAGTAAGGCCAAAAAGTCAGATGGCTGTCAATCGGCCATCCTTGACCAGATTTTGAAACAAATTGTCATGGACATGCATCCTAACATGTATAAAGTACATGTATGTGCCAAATTTGAATGAAAACTGACAGAGCACGTCCAAGATACCGCATAAAAAAACAAAAACAAGATGCCTGCCAGTCGACCATCTTTGATCCAATTGTGGATCAGGATTCTAAAATATGACGGACAGACTGACGCACGAACAGACGGACGGTCGGACGGACGGACGGACAGACTCAGGAACTCACGGACGGTCGGGGACATGTATCCTAACATGTATGATCTATGTACTAAATTTGAATGAAAACTGACAAAGCATGTCCAAAATATTACATTTTCAAAAAACAAGATGGCTGCCAGTCGGCCATCTTTGATCCAATTGTGAAATAAATCATCATGGACATGTATCCTAACATGTATAATCTATGTACCAAATTTGAATGAAAACTGACAAAGCATGTCCAAAATACAACATTTTCAAAAAACAAGATGGCTGCCAGTCGGCCATTTTGAATCAAATCGCTAAACCACTGCATGTGCATATGTCCCACATAAAGTAC